AAAAGCCCGCGATCCCTGAATCTATCGCGCATGGCTCTTCGCCTAAACCCGCAACTCCAGACCAACAGAGCGCGTCTTCAAAAGACCGGCCGCTCATCGTGTATGCGTATCATGACTCCGAGAGCGCGCGGGCAAACCTTGATTACTTTGTCAACAAGGGTATCCACAATGGCGCAGACTTTGTCTTCATCTTTAATGGAGATGCGAACGCGTCGAGCACCATTCCTGACCTGCCAAACATTAGCATCGTCAAGCGGGATAACACCTGCTTCGACATGGGTGCTATTGGCGAAGTTTTGAGGAAGGATGACTTGTGGAAGAAGTATAAGCGCTTCATCACGATGAACGCTAGCATTCGAGGGCCATTCTTACCGGCGTGGAGCTCGTCTTGCTGGTCGGACTTGTATCTGAGCAAGGTGACGGAGACAACCAAGGTGAGTCTTCACAAATTTTCGATATTGACATGACGTGGACTCTAAGACAATTTCTTTCAAACAGCTTGTCGGAATGACACTCAACTGCATCCCCAGACTGCATGTTCAGTCCATGATCTTCGCTACTGATGATGTCGGCATGAGCATCCTCTTGGACCCCACAGTCGCAACAAGCGCGTCTGAAGACGATCGCTTCGGAAGCAAAGACGCTCCTGTCGGTCTCAGCGGGTGTTACGCGGACTGGAACGCCGCAGTCCACGCCGAGGTTGGAACGACGGGCCTGATCATGAACGCCGGCTACAAAGTCGACGCCATGATGACCGCTCTGCATTCCGAACAAGGAGTAGAAGAGTACTGCAAGGCTCACCCGGATTCCGGTGACTTATTGTGGGATAAGAAGTATTTCGGGAGCAACATTCACCCCTATGAGACTGTCTTCATCAAGGCGAATAGGAATGTTGATCCGTCTCTGATGTCGTCGATGACAGATTGGCATATGCGGATGAAGTCTAACAGCTTCGATGTGTGTGGCTCTTGACTGGCGTATGAGAGTGAGACTCTGTATGATATCCAATAGACTGTAGAAAACCTAGATAGAGTGTATATGTTTGATATTTCTAAGCGATTTCAACAGCACATCAGATTTTGAAGCCAACGAAGCCAACGGTGGTCAAAGGTGTTGTTGAAAGCCGAGCTTGTTGCGCCACCAAGGTCCTTTCCGTGTTTGGGATGGCATTCTCGAACGGGTATTGCCTTACTTGATTGTAGCCATAGCTCTTTGCTGTCTCTTTTGAGCTCGCTAACCGCTAAAAATTTAGGGAATATTCATCAGATTTCAAACAAATAAACCCAAAGTTGCGGATGCTCTAAGCAGCGATGCCGAACATCATCTAGGTGATGCCTGAGAATGGGTTCACGTGAGTTACCTTTGGACTGATACAACGCATCTAAGAAGCTCTGTATCGAGAGAGCTGACTGCATGATATGTATAGTTGTAAGACCGCACTTGATCACAAATATTCAACTACTGTTTCGATCCTTACTTCTTGTCATACTATTGTATTATTTCTTCTCAGAGATAACGAATAGCAACGCTGCCAGAAAGACAATGTAAGGTTCAGCCACAATGTGGCGCTGAATGTGGCTCAATCTCCATTACATAACTTTACATGTTCTCCAAGTCCCAAAGTCCGGGTTTGAAAACTTCGCAACCTGCGCATTTCCCCTCCCTCCTTTAACCCCTCCACCCCTCAGGCCTCAGGTCCAGGAAACACATCACCAACGAACATTTCAGCACGTTCGAGCAACAGCACAGCACAGCACAGCAGCAGCAGCTCCCCCGATTCCACACACCCCGCCAAGGTCAGGCATTCGTGCATGCTAGCAGCTGTGGTGTCATCGCAAAAGCTGAAACGGCAAGGCGGTTCATTACCTTATCCGATCGTACCCAAAGTGCAGCGCAAAAGCCACCAGTGCATCCGTACCACCACGCACGCCGTCTTTTCGTTTTGCTTGACTGCATTTTTTGCGCCGAATCGGCAGTTTGGCCGGAGGGGTTGTCTTGCTTTTCTTACTCTGACTCAATTTGGGGGAAAGTCAGTCAGCATTGAGCAGAGTCAGATCAGATTTTTGGTAGGCTTACTTGCAGCCTTTCCTTACAAATTCAACCTGCATTTTCTCTTTTGTTCCAAATCCCCCCTCAGCTCCGTCTTAGATATCGGACATCATGAAGGGAGGGGACAGAAGAGGGAAGTTTGCTTATGCAGGGCCAGACATGATCTTGGGATATGCGCGTATTTTCTTATCAACCGCTGCTTTCCCTGGTGCTATACACGTGTGAAATGTTAACTAACTCTTGACTTTTTTGGTATCATAAAAGTCAGTACCGCGAAATCCAGTTTGTCGCAAACGGCCAACAGAGCTGTCTATTATAGACTACGAAGTACCCACCCTCCTCGTCACACCTTTACGAGGAGCTTTGGGTTGGAAGAAGGGCCCCTGCGGTGCCGATCCGCCCCCGCCGAGTCAGTAAACTACCCCGAAAATGCCGGCCATGCTAGATGACCCGGCGAGCCCCACTATCTACCGGGTGTCCGGGGTTACGCCGTACCCGGATCCGATGAATCCTTCCCTACCGGCCGACATCACCCCACGTCAAGTGACGCTCCGCGACCGCCAGACCGTCGCCACCATCATCCCCTTCGCTTCGCGACACGAAGTGCCCCCGTCCCTGGTTCGCTACCTAAGCGACCAGCTCAACAAGGAAATCGAGGGCGGCGACACCTACCCGATGATGGAGACCATGGCGGCCGAACAATTCGGCGCCTACTGGTTCCAGAACTTTGGCGCCGTCATGATGCTGGGCAACATCGAGCAGCCGCACGCCGAACTCAACGACGACATGGACTGGTCCCGCGAGTGCCTCGGCAGCTTCTACATCAAGCCAAACTACCCGGGCCGCAGCAGCCATGTGTGCAACGCGGGCTTCCTCGTGACCGACGCCTCCCGCAACCGCGGCGTTGGCCGCCTCATGGGCGAGTGCTACATCGACTGGGCGCCCAAGCTGGGCTACACCTACTCCGTCTTCAACCTCGTCTACGAGACCAACGTGGCCTCGTGCAAGATCTGGGACGCCCTCGGCTTCAAGCGCATCGGCCGCGTAAAGGGGTGCGGCAACCTCGCCTCGTACCCGGGCACCCTCATCGACGCCATCATCTACGGGCGGGACCTGCCCGTCCCCGGCAGCAACGGCGCAGAGTCGGAGGACCTCGTGAGTGAAGAGCGTTTCGACAAGATCAAGTTTTATCTAAAGTACGGACGGTATCCGGCGGGTGCTGACCGCGCCGAGAAAAGCAGGCTCCGGAGCGCGGCGACGCACTATAAGCTGGTGGGCGAGGGGGAGGCCGGCGGCGGAGGCGAACGGCTGATGCTCAAGGATAAGGAGGTCGTGCCGGATCCGAGGAGGCAGTACGAGATTGCGCGCGAGGTGCATGCCGCCGGCCACGGCGGTATCAACAAGACGACCGCGACGATTGCGGAGAAGTATCACTGGAGCCGCATCAAGGAGACGGCGAGCGACGTGATTCGGAACTGTACGGAGTGTAAGGAGCTCGGCAAGACGCCTGCGCTGGGGGGTGGAAACGGGGGTGGTGCCAAGGGAAGGTCGGCGGTGGCATTGGCAGCAGCTGCTACTGCTGCTTCTACTACTTCTTCTGCTGCGCCTGTATCGGTTGTGAATCCCCTCACAAATACTTCATTTCATCACACTCATGCAACATCACCGCCGCCGCCGCCGTTATCGCCAGGGCCTACCTCAACAGTTCTCAGCACCGCAGACCATGTCCTTTCGCTTCAACACCAACATCCACATCACCACCACCACCTCCCGCCCCTATCGCCGCCAAGATCATCACCCTACGCAGAAGTTACCTCGTTACCACCCTCCCACACCCTCCGCGACCCTTCGGCCTCCCCCTTACCACGGCACCCGCACCATAACCCTATGCTACAAGATGGGTCCTTCCAGCCGATCGATCCGCAAATCATTGGCGGGCTGCAGCCGCCGGGGCCGACGTCGCATCACGATCTCCATCATCACCACCATCATGAGAACCCGTATAACCCGTACCACCCTCACCACACCGATTTCCAGGCGTTGCTCAACGCGACGGAGGCCGAAGAAGGGGTAGAGGGGTTGGGCGAGATGGGGGTGTCGGCGGAGGAGGCGGCTGCTGTGGATCGGGATCTGGATATGTTGATTGAGCAGGGGGATGATGATGATGTTGGGGTTGGGGTGGTCGTGGATGGAGACGCGGATGCGGTTATGGGGGAGAAGGACGGGAGGGAAAAGGATGTCTATTCTATAGAGTTTATAAATGGGTAATGCCAACGGGTGAGAGGAGAGTGGTCTGATGGTGTGGCGTGGTGTCTATTTGGCGTCTTGGATACCATGGATGAGGTCGGCGGCGGCGTGGGCCTGTATTTTCTTGTCTATTTCCTTTCATTTACTTGATAGACTTTTCACAACTTATTAACATGGCAAGCGGACATGTCAGCAATTCAGACTTTACTTATTTAAATGCTTTTATGAGGAGCATATCCCGGTTTAGTACTTTGAAACTAGGTTGCGCTTATATCGCAGTGTTTGATTACCCTCCAGAGCTGGATTTCATTGCAACGGGTAGCCGAGGCCGAAAGACCCAGGATAGAGAGCACTAGTCCTGTGAATGAATTCTCGATTTTGTACCAAATTTATTCGCGAAATTCTCTTTCGATCTCTCCTATGCCATCTCATATTACCTAGGGGCACGGAGCCGAGCGTCGGGACGGATGGCGGGTAGTGTGGGGCACGACCCGGGCCCTTCGCTCGGGGCGTCGCTTCCGTCCGGGATGAGCGGGGCGCACTAATGCCGTGTCTAATCCCAAAAACTCTTTTCTCGGCCAAATCTAAGAGATGCCTTAGCTTGAATTAAAGCGGTTAAAATGACGCGGCCATTAATCGTGACCACGGGCAGAGAGTTTGTGCAATTTTTTGTTCCTTGGAAGACTTGAGTTTCTGTGGTTCCGCTAGTATTCGTGGGTGCTCTGAAGTGTGCACTTCCGCGCTCTGCAAACATGGCGCCTTGAGTTTTTGCGTCTCCTTGAGTCAAGCTCCAGCCCAAGCACGAGGCTTCCACGATTCGTGGGGGCGTGTGTAAGGTAGGTATGTGTGTGTGTCGTGCAACTGAACAATGCACTGAACCAGCCGGCGACAACGGCCGGGGCGAACATGCTTCCGTCTCATCTTTCTGACGGGATCCTGGAAACGCGAGAAGACAGGGGGTTGCCAAGACCTAATTTTCGGATTTTCCTCTGGTATACGTAAGGATCCAAACTCTAAAAGCCCAGCGCTCGAAAGTTGAAACCTGTTCGGATTGCATTTGCTTTGACTCCGTTTCTATCTCTTCTTGCGTGCTACCCAAGGTCTTGGGGGTGTTTGGATTGTTAATGTTGGGTTGACAGAAAAGGCAACGAGTAAGAAGAGGGTGCTGAAGTCTCACAGCGTTCGGATCCCTCACTCAAAGTCAACGGATCTACAGACACCGAGAGAAGAAGGACGGGGTCAGGAAAGCGACCGACGGACGATACAATTACAGCCCCCCTCAGCGGGCGGCGGGTTGTGTGTCCTCCGGTATCTGGTCGGCAGGACCGATAATGCTCACGATTTTATGGACCATCCCGTCGTGGTTCGTGCTTCTCTCTCATGCCGCCATGCCATGTCCATCATCCATCTATCTGGCCTCGTGGGCGCGGAGATCAAAGTGGGACCTCTCTCAATTACAATTCACAGACCCAATCTGTTCGAAAAGCAAAGACGTATTGCACACGACGTGATTGGGCATACAGTATCCCCGCGAGATGGTATGCCGGCCTGTTCGGCAGGGCTGGCGAGCATAATCCCCGTTAAGCATGTCTTTGCCCATGCCTATGCTCAACAGCCCTGCCGTTGGCTTACAGAACCGTGCTTGCACTCTATCGAGTTGCCCTTCTTTTACCGCACAGCTTCGGTGTACGGAGTACGGATGTCAGTCTTGCCAGGGAGGAGGCCACCTCATCATCCCAACTTCACCAACTCCAGACGGCACCCAGATTTCATATATATTTAGAAACCTTCTTTTCTTTCGAAAAACCAGAACCCCGCGGCCACCCGATTGGCCGGTCCATTACATCGGAAGTTCTGAAACTGCGCATGTTCTGTCCCGCAAACCTGCGCCCTTCCAAGAATCCCTCGCAGGTTCCCGCAGCCCGGGGTTGCCTTGAACTCTGTTCCCAGCAGCACCTATTCTTCTTTCCTTTCCTCGGTGACTACACTACCTAGGCGTTCCTTTTGCCCTTGGTGTGCCCAAGGTTAAGGTACCGACACACCAGCGTACCGTCTAGACGGTCACTCCCACCCCTTCCAAAACTCCGCGCCCGCGGGTTGAAGCAAGGAGCGATCAGGAAGGGGGGGATAACCACTACTGCACACTGGCACACATCATTGCGACGAACTCGGGAACCGGACCGTGAGACGGGCGTAACCCTGTGACTTTCCTCCTGCCGAAACTTGCGACGCCGTGCCAAACGGCAGCGTACGCGTACGTCTGGTCGTCTGGTCACCGCGCTTGGCTCGACTGACGGACACTTCAGACCACAGAAGCCCAGGCCGCCCAGAGATCTGAAGGTGTCGAACTTCGTCACGATTGGGGGGGTGTGTAGAATTGATGCAGATTGGCGGGACCTCCTACACAGCCTCGATCGGTCGAGGCCAGCACTTGTTTCCCGACTGCGACTTTTATTCTTTTCGAGTCAAGGGAGGGTGTTGGCCCGGAGCCCGGCAGGTAGGGGTGAGGGTGTGGTAGTTGATAATTTGATTGGGGTGGTAATCAATCAAAGAAGGTTGGACTAAGGTTATATAGCGCTATTGACATCCACGAAATTTCCCGTGGCGCCTCCTATCCTTTCGATAGTGTCATTAAACTTATCAGCTTGGTCTCTCCATCCATTTCTGTGACAGCAGACTGCTAGCCTCTCTTTTATCGACCAACATTCGCTCTTCACACAAAGCTCTCCCAACATCCGTCACGTCGCATATACACAAAAGTGCTCATATACATACAAACACGCTCTCTACATACATCCGGCACAACCAATACAGCACAACACACAACCGATATCATCTTACACACAGCCGATATACCTACAACACACGCAGTCAACCACACGACTCACAAAACTCAAAACACCACATACACAACACACAAACAAGTCAACATGAAGTTCTCACTCCTCACCCTCGTCACCCTCATCAGCGCCGCGTCCGCAATCAGCGTCGACGCCGGCCTCATCAAGAGACAGTGCATCGCAGAAGGAGGTTAGTTCTCTCTCTCTACTCAGTCCACACAATCCATCTCACCCATACTCATCCACACATACTGACGAACAATTCCTTTTCCAGGTCTCTGCTTCACAAGTACCGCAGAAGTAGACAAGCCCTGCTGCGGCGGCCTCATCTGCAACACCGACCCCGCGCGCAACAATGCAAACGTGTGCGGCAAGAAGTCTGCCGAGAAGAGGGACATCGACACCCCGAAGCCCCTGCCCGTACCGCGGGCCATGCCTGAGATTCCTCGCGATGAGCCCATCTGGGGATAAGGTGTGGAAAAACGGAGCTCAGGAGGGGGAAAAAATGTTGTGGCGGAGGAGAAACTTCTACTTGGGCCATTTACTTTGGCCGACAAAGCGCACGATTATGAATTTTTTTTTTATTCTTCTTTCGACGATTCAACCACAACAGCTTGGTTGCTAGGGACGGGGGACGACTTTAGACTTGATACCACATTTCTTAGCGTTTTTGAGATACCAACTTTTTCGATATCATTCAAGGAATCTATTTACTTTGTACTTGCTTCTGAACTTCTTGATGAGTCTTGTGGTCTAGATCGTGAATGTTTCCCAAATCCTAGATGACGAGATCGCTCTCAGGCCTGCCATCTGGGAACATCACATGTGTTTCAAGAAAATCATTTCACTTTGTCTTGGGACGTTCACTCCAGTAAATCTCTCCATTGAGCAAACATGACCTGCACACCGAAGATCCCCCCACCGCGTAGACGATAGTCTTCACGTTGGACATAGGCCACATTCTGACACGACAGCTTTGCGTACGAATGAGAAGAAGTCTACACGTCGCTGTAGGAGCAAACGGAACAAAAGGGGACGATCAGGTCACCACACATCCGTGCCCCTAACAACAGACAAACCACTCAGCCCCATCTACCCACTCCCGTCACACAAAGCCAAGCCAAACTCAAGGACAAACATACAATTAAGCTAGTTTCATTTCTCGTTGACACGTATAGAGTAGAGATGATATACGTTCGTCTCATATGAAGGCTTCACCGAGTGCCTACTCATCTACATGTAACACGTATGGTCAATGCCAAACCAGGTGCTCACGGTGCCTTGAGAAGGGTCTAGGGCCCGATGGTACACAAGATATGAACATTCAGCAAATATCTTCTTTGAGGGGGTCAAAGACCAAACAAGATGATTGTCGGTGACAGCTTTCACTACAGTTGAGAGCTGAAATCCATCGAATTTGGGTAGAGTCATTGCATCAGCTACACCATTGAGCTCTATCGTGATATTGAGTGGTAGATAGTCTCACAGAGGCCCAAGGTGGGCCAGAACCGTATGCCTACCTGCAGGAACTCATCACTGCCAACCCCACACAGCAGAGGAATCACCCAACATTAGTGACAAACGCCCGTCGATAGCAGCAGAGGGCGAATTTCTATAGAAATACTGGTACATGTTCATACATTGGTAGGTAGTCTAGTACAAAGTCCCAGGACAGGACAATCCTTCTCCCTCATCTTTTCCCTCTTTTCCCATCTCGATCCTCGACACTCACTTCACCCCAACTGGCCCACTGGAGAACTTCAAAGCCCACCATCAACAGCCTTGCTCCGATCAACCTGCATCATCTCAAGCAACCTCGCCTCCTCGCCCTCCTCCGCGTTGTGCGCCGTGTACGAGGCCGTCGACTGCCACTTCTTCAATTCCCTCTCCCACGCGTTCCCCTGGGCCTTCATGAATCGTTGCGTCTCCAGCGGGGTGGTCCACTCCGACTCGCCGTTCTCCGCGGCCGCGAGACGGCGCTTCTGGCCCGCCTCGCCCGCGCGTCCGAGGACGCCCGCGATGACGGCGACGGATCGGTAGCTGTTCACGACATTGTTAGTCAACGGGCATAGATAGAGAGGTAGTTGGGGGGTTTAGATGGGGAGTTCGGCGTTAGGGAAGGGAAGGGAAGGGAAGGGGGTGAATACTAACCTGTCGTCATTGGCAGGAATGGCATACGTAACCCAATCCGGATTCGCATCCGTATCAATGATCCCAATCGTCGGCACGTTCGCCAACCCACACTCGTACAGCATGGTATAGTTCTCCCTCGGGTTCAAACACACAATCAGATCCGGCACCAGCGGCCGCCCCGTCCTCTGCAACCTCTCAAACCCCTGCAGCGTGATATCCTTCTCGTCCACGATCCGCACCTCTTTCCCCTGATTAATCACGTCGCGGTTCGTAATGTTGCCCGGCGTCCACTTGGTGAACAGGTGACACCCGCCCGCGAGCTTCGCCGCCCCCGTCACGATGTCCATCTGGCCCTTGCGCGTGCCCGCGAACAAGATCAGCCCGCCGCGGTGCGCCACCTCTTCCACCACGCGCGCCGCGCGACGGAGGTACGCAGCCGTGGTCTCGAGGGAGATGATGTGGATCCCCTGCCTCACACCGTAGATGTACTTCGCGTTGGCCGGGTTCCAGCGGGACGTGTGGTGTCCCATGTGCGTCTGACTCGCCATCAGCAGCTCCAGGCTGATGTCCTTCGGGTGAGGCGGGTTCTCGATGAGCTGCGAGGGCACGTACGGCCGTCCGACGGCGGCGCCGACGCGGGCGTTGAGGTTCTGCTGCCGGCGGAAGCGGTTATAGGCGTTGGGCACCGTCTTGGAGCGGGCCTCGATCGCCTCGACGCGCTTGGCTGCGACATCCGGATCGTGCTGCGGAGCGACCTGGGGGATCTGGCCGAGGGCCGCGGAGGTGGTCAGGTCTGCGAACGTCTCGGGCGTCATGGCGCCGACGAGGGCGTCGGTCGTGATGCCGGCGCGATGGCATGATCGGGCGACTGCTGGCGCCAGCAGGGCTCTGCTGCCTGTATGAGTAGCACCATATCAGCAACAAATACTCAATTG